TAATTATGACTTTCTAGAAGTAGAATTGTCTTAGAGGGCAAAGTGACTTTGTTTTGCTTTTCTGTCATTGATGATGTTGACTTGATTTCTTTTAATTTTGTTAATTCCATGTCCCTTTTATGCTCTGCGTTTCTTTCTTCTTTTTTTTTTTAAAGATTTATTTATTTATGCATACAGAACTGGGGTACAGACCAGAGGTGTGGGGTGGTAAGAAGATTCACCAGAGACAGAATGGGGAGCAGAACAGGCAGATCTACGAAGTACATTGCTGAGGGAAGCAGCGGACGAGACAGGAGAGGTCTGCCATGCCATGTGGATCACCTTCAGGGCAGGGATCGAACTGTGCTGAAGTGGTTTTAGCTTCTTAGTGCTGTGCTTTAACCCACTGTGCCACCAGGGAGGGCCCTGCTTTTCTTACTTCTTAAAAAATATGCTATATTTACATGTAAAATTTTTGCTATTTGTACTTTTCTTATTTGTAGCTTGCTTTTTAAAGGTGTACTTGCTATATGGGAAATATTTTATAAATTAAGATATCGATCTTATTTGTGCTTAAAGATATCCATTTTTATCTCTGGTTCATTGATGTATTTCTGTTAGGTATTTTGAAAATACTATACATGTTACCTGTTTTAAAGGAACTCAGATAGAAATAGCTTTGAGAATATTTGTGTCCTTAAATTCCTTACCTTGTTATGACTCAGGAACAAGGGTAAGTTGGTAATTTCTGTAATGTGAGCTTTCCATGGAGAATGTAGGATAGAAACCAGAGATTTATTGGAAGCTGCAACTCTCTATAATCCTGCATTTCAGCCAGAAGAAATATTTGCTTATAAGATGTTATTTACCTTTACTATTAAAAAGAGTGGCTCTAGTTAAGCCACAAAATGTCTTTGATTATAAGATGTATATAATAATTTCAGAATTTTAAAAGTCTGAACATGTATGGGTTTTAGAATCCACAAAACATGATAACTTTGCAACACAGCCATTTTGAAAAGTTTGTGGTTTATATAGTTCTGTTTCTCATTTTTTTTGTTTTGGTAGTTTTTTTTTGAAGTGGCTTCGTAGAGTTATAATTCATGCCCCACACAATTCATCTATTTAAAGTGTACAATTCATTGGCTTTATTACATTCATAGAATTTTACAATTGTCTCCACAATTTTAGAACATTTTTTTATCAACCTCAAAAAGAAATCCCCAAATGATGGGATATTACTCAGTCTTAAAAGGGAAGGTAATTTTTATATATGCTACCACATGCATAAACTTTGAAGACATTATGCTCAGTGAAATAGTAACAAAAGGACAAATTTTGTATGATTCCACTTATGAGGTAGTTGACTTCATAGAGATAGAAACTGAAATTTGTGATTGCTAAGGCCTGGGAGGAAGGGGAAAGAGGAGTTATTGTTTAATGGATATATAGTTTTCATTGGGCAAGATTAACGTCCTCCGGAGATGAAGGGTGGTGATGGTTGCACAACAATATGAATGTGCTTAATGCTATAGAAATATGTACTTAAAAGTGATTACAGTGGTAACTTTTATGTATTTCACTATAATAAAAACCAAAAGAAACTCTATACTTCAGCTATCACTTGTTTTTCCTCGATCTTTGCTCCACCATCTCTAAGCAGCCACTAATTTGCTTTCTGTTACTATAGATTTGCTTATTCTGGACTTTTATATGAAAGAAGTCATATAATATGTTGACTTAAAGGGCTGTTTTACTTAGCATAATGTTTTTAGGGGTTTTTCATGCTGTAGTATTATCTGTACTTGAGTTTCTTTTTTTCAACGACTGAATAATAAACTGCATGTTGTTCACATTTTACTCATCATTGGTGGCCATAACATTTTATTTGTTTCCGAAGTTTTTGTAGTTATTTTGGGACTTGAGATTTTATTATTATAAGAAATAAAAAACTCTGCCACATGTATTAAGTAAAGGAGGACTTAGCGTAAGGCTATGTACACAGTTTAATACATATCCAAGGACAAGGAAAGCTGAATAGTGTGGCTTCTCATGGGGACTAACTCTGGAACAAATATTTGGGAGCTAAAGCAGTTTCTGCTGTATCTCAGGTGGCAGCCAAGATAGTTTGCCTCAGCTGCTCTCTGTATGTGTACTCTGTTTCCAGACTGGCATTCTTTGCTTCCCTGTGGCTATGCCTTGGCTTTTACCTTTTACTCCTACTCTGGCTACTTTATGGCTTTTTTCCTATGGCTAAGTTCCATTTTTGTAGAGAAGGTTGGTTCATTTCTGGTCCAGTTATGATAATTTACTTAATATAAAATACTTTATAGGCCATACTTTAATTAGAGGCAGATATTCTAGAAGGAGTTTTGTACTTGGATCTGGGTGTGACCAGCCTTTTTAGGACACTACTGTTAATCTAAAGATGATATCTCACTAGGCCAGTGGTCATCAAACTCTTTGTTCTCAAAGTTCCTTTACACTGAAAAATTATTTAATAATTCAGAATGCTTTTGTTTATGTGAATTATATAGATTGTTATATTAAAGATTAAAATGGGGGAATTTTAGATACTCACTTAAAATAATATAAACCCACCACATGTTAATATAAGTAACATTTTTTTTTCAAATAAGAAAATTAGATGAGAAGAAAGGCATTGCTTTACATTTTGCTAACCTCTTTTAATATATGGCTTCTACATTCTTCTACATTTAGCCTTGCAATATGTTGTTTTGATTGAAGTTATAAAGAAAAATTAACCTCACACAGATAAGTAGTTGGAAAAAGGAGGGAGTATTTTCACAGTCTTTTTAGATAATTGTGGCTATTTTTTTGATACCATGCTTCAACTAGACAAGTGGTAAAAGGTTATTTGCCATGCAGAATCTGAAAGCATATCAATGAAATTTTCATATTTTGCTACATGAAATATTTACTGGCTTGTTTTATACTTTAAATATATTTCAGTCATTAGTAATTTTATAACATTCTATTTTGGTCATTGCTTATAAGAGATTGATCCTTCCTGTTATGAAGCTGTTTCAAATGTTGACACATTTTATTATGTGATTATCAGGAACTCACACTTGCCTAATATTTAATGTCATTGCCATTTTTGCCAGATAAATTTCTCTTTAAAAATTTATTTTACTTATGCATGTAGAACTAGGATACAGGCCAGAGGTGCAGAGGCATTGAGAGGATGCACCAGAGACAGAGTGGGGATCAGGCAGATCAACGAAGCACACTGCTGAGGGGAGCAGTGGGCCAGACAGGAAAGGTCTGCCATGCAACGTGGGTCACCTCCAGGGCTGGGGATCAGTCGGCGTTGGTGGTGTAGTGGTGAGCATAGCTGCCTTGCAGGGCTAGGGATCAAACTTTCACTGAAGCGGCCACAGCAGCTTGCCACTATGTACTAATGCTTTACACCACCAGGGAGGGCTGCCAGATAAAATTTTTAAATGTGGGTGGCAGATACAAGTTTTTCCAAAATTCTAATTTTCACAAATTCTGACAACTTTTCCTTGAAGTAATAGGCTCAATTTGTTCTTTTTTTTTTGTGAACAAATTCTTTATTTCAAGTTTACCTTAAAGAATAGGTGCATACAGAACTGGGGTACAGGCCAGAGGCTCAGGGGCGGTGAGAGGCTTCACCAGAGACAGAGCGGGAACAGAACAGGCAGATGGACGAAATACACTGCTGAGGGGAGCAGCGGGCAGGTCAGGAGAGGTCTGCCGCGCCATGTGGTCACCTCCGGGGCAGGCGGGAATCGAACTCATGTGGAAGTGGCCCTAGATTCTCAGTGCTGTGCTTTAACCCACTACGCCACCAGGGAAGGCCTCAATTTGTTCTTTGAATGCTTTCCCATCCTCACTGCCTTCTTAGGGTGTCATTAGGCAGCAGAATTATTTAATACAGATATTTCTTCTGTATGCACGTTTACCTTTCATATAATCTTGAATTCCTTTTAACACTTGATTTTTTTCATAGTCCTAAAATTATCCTCCAGATTTGGGTTTTTTGTAATGTACAATTTATTTTTTTTGGTAGAAGGAAGACATTTACTGAGCAGTTGCCTTTTTGTCAGTTTCCACGCTAAAGTTTTTATAAGAAATTTACCCAGTTATCCAAAAGTAGAGGATTCCTATGAAACCTTTTAATAAGTTGAAATGTTGTATAGCGAAGAAGCGCTTGCCATTAATTTATATAGAAAAATTTTTTAATTCCCAGAACCCAAAAATAATTTACCAAGTTATACAAAATAATGCATAAAACCTGAAATAACACTAACATTTAGTAAAAGCAGAAACGGTGTAATAAATACACAGCCTGCATAATGGAGCTCACAGGGAAGGAACTTGGCAGTTTCACCTTCATTGCTTGTGGTGCATGCTTCCTATTAAACAGTTGCTGCAAAACCAAAGCTGAACCCTACTTTTACATTGTGTAGTAAAAGAAAAATCCTCTTCAGACATCTTTTGTCTAGCAAAATCTTAGATTTTTCTTAAAAACTGACTTAACATAACTTTGAAAAGCAGGGCTACCTGTACATATTTTTACTTTACATAATTACTGATATTATTTGTGATAAACAGAAGCACCCTGGTCATCTGAGTGTAAAACTGAGGCAACCAAAATGGGAGGATGGTTGCCTGCTCACTATGGAGATAGAGGGGGCCTACTGGAGCACAGTGGAGAATTATATGGGCTTTGTAGTTGGCATGGTGTGAAAATAAACAGCGGTAGAAGTTGAACCTATAACCCCTAAAACAAATGCAGTGTTGTAAACCAATATTACTTCAATAAACTTAATTGGAAAAGTAAGAACCTCTTTTTAAAGTGTAAATGAAAAGAACCATTAATATTTTTCTAACTTCAATAATTTATATTAAGTAAATAGATTAGAGAAAGCTTTTACTGGTAATTGTGGTTTTATTTATGTAGTTATAATTTATTAGAAATCCACCTGGTGCTTTAGTTCTTATCAATTCTATTTTTTTCCCATCCTGTTTAGGTGGTTTCCTAGAAACATGATTGTTTGTTGGACTTGATCTCACATCCTGGTGAGGATTTCTTTACTGATAATGTCAAGTTCAGGTTATCCTCCCAACCAAGGAGCATTCAGCACAGAACAAAGTCGTTATCCTCCCCATTCTGTTCAATATACTTTCCCCAGCAACCGTCACCAGCAGGTAAGGATCAAATACCATACAAATTACAAATGTGTATTTTGTATTTTCTTTGTTTCCTATCTAGCACATTTATTTGTTGGTGAAATCAAGTATAATTTTTATATGTGTATTTTTTTATGTGTGTATTTTTTTAATGGCAACCATTTCTCAAAAACGGGGAACCAATGTTTGGGGATTCATTATCTGTATTCTTACTATGGCTTTATGTCATATTTTAGGGGATAGCCATATTTTAGATGATAGGAGCTGTTGACAGAAAAATACTAGTTTTTAGAGTTTCTACATAAAGATCTATGTTTGTCTTCCAGTTCTGGTTGAGTAGTAAGCTGGCCAGATAAATTGGCCTCTCTTGAATTAAGGCCAGGATAGGGCTTGAAAGATTTGCTATCAAGATGAGTTTGCATGATTCGTTTAAATTGTGAAAAATAAAATGAGGTGACATGTTCAATTCAGAGCAGCCAGGGACAAAAGATGTAAGAGACTTTAAGAAAAGAAGGAAGGGAAGGAATGAAATGATCATAGAGACAAAGGAAGCAGACTTACCAGCAAAATTGAGTTGAGTACTAATGCAGACTCCTTTGTATTTTAGTCAGGATTACAAGTGAAAGTAGACATCCTTTCCTTGTTTTGTTTAAGGAAACACACAGTCTGTATTAAGTATAATACTAGTTTTATTTTTTGTAGACATTTTTGGTTGAAGAAATTGCTTTATATTCCTAGGTTGAGAATTTTTATCATGCTTTGGTGTCATATTTTAGTTGAGTGTTCTCCCTCCCCTAATGCTAGTTATCTGATTACTCATTTTCTAGGTTATTGTTACTTTAAAAAAAAAAAATCAGCTTTGAGGGCCTCCCTGATGGTGTAAGGGTTAAGTCTCAACACTATCATGCTATCTCCACTTCAGCCAGGATTTGCTCCTGGGGCAGGGAGCTGACCCACATGGTGCAGCAGACCTCTTCTGTTTTGCCTGCTGCTCCCCTCAGCAGTGTATTTCAGTAGATCTGCCTGTTCTGCTTCCCACTCTGTTTCTGGTGAATCTTCTGACCCCATATTCCATACCTCTACATTCCAGTACTTGTATGTGTAAGTAAATAAAACAAGTAAAAAGCTATAGATCAAAGATTCTTCCCTTTAAAAAAATCAACTTTGAGACTTGGTTTATATTTAGTAAAAATTACATGTACAGATTTATATTTAGATTTAGATTATTTATTATATTTAGATTTATATCTATCAAGCCACCACCATTTCGCTTAGTCCCAAATGTTCCCTTGTACTGCATTCAGATCAGTCCACTTCCATTTTTCACTAACTTTTGCTTCTAGGAAGCCACTGATGTGCTTTTTCTATTAAAAAAAGATTATATTTGTCTTGAGTTTCATATAAACTCTTGCCTATGGATTTTTTTGCATACCTTAATACTTGTGAGATATACCTCAAAAATTCTAACATGTATCAGTAGTCCATTTTTTCCTTATGATTGGATGTGGATATAGAGTTTGTCCAGTTATACCTCTTCCCCATGTTTTGTTACAAATACATTATTTAGGACACATGTATTTATATTTATTATATGTAGATTATATAAAGAAGTACTGCCTGATTTTCTTAGCAGTTTCCTTTGAAAAGTCCTTTTCATTTTTATCAAATCCACTTAACAAAGTTTTATCTTTTGTATTTCTCGCTTTTTGTGTCGTATTTAAGAAACTTTGCCAAATTCAATCTTCGTAAGATTTTTGTCCTCTGTTTTTTCCCCTAAGTTTTCTATTTTCCCTATGTTTTCTAGTTTTAGGTTATATACTTAGGCATGTGACCAGTTTTTGAATTAAGTTTTGTTTATAGTATGAGGTAAAGGGTTGAGTTAGGTATTCAATTATTCTAGAAGTCATTTATTGCAAAGATTTTTCTTTATCCCCTCAATTGTTTTGATACTTGCATTGAAAATCAATTGACTGAATATGTGAAGGTCCATTTCTTTCTATGTTGTTCCACTGAATTTTTAAATAATAATAATAGTTTATTTTTACATAATTTTGTGCATTTTTTCATCTCAGTTGTAATCCCCATGGGCTTCCCATCACCAAATCACCCATGTGCTATCACTGTAGTCCAGTATGTGTTGAATATAAATTTTAATTTGAATGATATTACAATTAATGTTGATTGTTTTAGGTTTGTGGGAAAGAATTAGGTGAGCAGAGAATTGAAATTTATTATTGCTTTTTTTTTTTTAACATTTATTTATTTATACATACAGAACTAGGGTATAGGCCAGAGGTGTGGGGGGTGAGAGAAATCACCAGAGACAGAGTGGGGAACAGAACAGAACACTGCTGAGAGGACCAGTGGGTGAGACAGAGGTCTTCTGTACTATGTGGGTCAATCCCCTTGCTGGGATCAAACTCTTGCTTCAGTGGCTGTGATGGCTTCATGGTGCTGTGCTCCCACAAGGGAGGGCCCTATTATTTCTGCTTATTTCCCACTTACTGACCCATAACTGCCTTTATATATTTATACTTGATTTGTTTCCATGATGTTTTCATTGTTTTGGTTAAAAATTAATTTATGATTATTTTAATACTAGGAGTTCGCAGTCCCTGATTATCGTTCTTCTCATCTTGAAGTCAGTCAGGCATCACAGCTTTTGCAGCAGCAACAGCAGCAACAGCAGCTTCGTAGACGACCTTCCTTGCTATCAGAATTTCACCCAGGTTCTGACAGGTAATGGGATTTCTTTTATGTTTCCATCTAGAAATATATTTGTGAAGCGTGTGCATACTTCACAAGTATGTCATTTGTTATATTTTCATCATTTTATTAGCCAAACTGTGATAATATATACTTAAAGTATGTACTTTGAGCTCTTTTATATTTTTTTGATGGTTTTGGAGTTATTTTGGCAATAGTTAATAAACTATTAAAATATGTTGCCAAAATTCAGAGGTAATGTTACATGTTTGAAAGTCATGTAGTCTAGACTTGAATGATAGTCAGCTTATGTGTAGCCTTGGCACATTGGGTAAAATGGTTGTTCTCATTGATGCTGCATATAAGAACCACCTGGAGAACTTTTAAAACTTGATGCCTAAATCCCATCCAATTAATCAAATCAGTCTTTGGGATTGGGCCCAGACATTTGTTTATGTTTGAAGTCATTCCAGTTATTTTCATTTACAGCAAGAATTGCAAATGACAGATTTCAGTTCTTCAAACCTTACTTTTCTCAGGAGTAAAAATGAAGATAATGGCATTGTTCTCAAAGGCTAGGAAGTATTTAACCATTTAATGTTGGCTCTGTATCTCATAGATGTTCTTTTCCCCTGGTGTCCTTAGCATCTACTATCTTTTATTCCATTCTTATACTTAGTCTATTTTGAAATATAGTTGCCTAAGTAAACCTTTCTTGTTTCAGTAATTTTATAACATACTATTTTCTGGTTTAAAATGTTTGTTATTTAGGTCTTAAAATGTTAATATATTTGAAATTATTTGGCCTTGTTTAGGTTTATTATAAAAATATCATTTCTTAGTGAAGGTTGTGGAGAGAATCAGGTCACTCTTACTCCCAAATCTAGCAAATACATAGCTTTTTTTTTTTTTTTAAAGGGCTAAAAGTGCATCCTCTTAAACAAGGAAAGATATATAGCCACTGTCATAAACTTGGGAAATTGTTGTTCAAAGAAAACAATTAGAAGCATCTTGTGTGACTTGACCTATTCCCATTTTCTACTCTCAAAGAACAAATAAAGAGGGTCAATAAAATGCTAGGGTGTGTGTGTGTGTGTGTGTGTGTGTGTGTGTGTGTGTGTGTGTGTGTGTGTGTAATCCCTAATTTGAGGAGATGTGAATGGAGGTAGTCCGCTTATGAGTCCCCATTTGGTCACTCTTGTTTTCCTTTGGCTGCAGGAATGCCCATCAAGGTGGGCCGTTTTCCAAGTGATGAACCATCCCTCAGGGCAGCTTTACATATTGGGTTGGTAGAATGGGCCAAAGCTCTTGGCAGAGGCTACAATCAAGTTTCCTTTGCCCTTTTCCCCTATACCCTCAGGTTGTAGAAAAATACATAGAACACTATACTTAGTCCGCTGTTTGTAGGTAAATGCATACTAGATAGAGTAGAGATAAAGAAAAATCCAAGCACCCTGTTTTACACCAATAAGAGGGTCTGGGTAGGACTCCCTTTGGTATACCTAAGTATAGAAAGGTAAGGGAAACCATGTTCAAGAAAAATTCCTGGAAAGGAAAATTAAAGGAAATACAGTGTGCAAAAGCAAAGACCCCTGTGTATGTGTGTTTGTGTGTAAGAAGACAAAAATTAAGAATATACCTATAATTTTTTTTTTAAATTATTTTTTCAAAAAAGAGCTAGGGTGTAGGTCAGAGTTGCAAGAGCTGAGAGTATTCACCAAAAACAGAGTGTGAAGCAGAACAGGCAGACAGAGTAAAATACATTGCTGAGGGGAACAGCAGGTGAGACAGGAGAGGTCTGCTGTGCCATGTGGATTATCTTCCTGGATGGCAGTGGCTGTTGATAGCTTCATAGTGCTGATATTTAACCCCTTGCACCATTAGGAAGGCCCATCATGAGTTCTTTGTGTTATAAAATACCTTAAAATTAATTGAGAAGCATTAAAAAAAATAATAGTCAAAGTGGATAAAATGAAATACTGAATATTCCAGTGCCATTGTGTCCTACATTATAAATTAAATTAAATATAAATTATATAAATTAAATATTATATATAAATTATATTAAGTGAGAAAGAATAAGAAATAAAATAGATATAACAAAAAGTCAAACTTTTATCATGGAAAAGGGTCTGAGACAGAGTAAATACAGAAGAAAAGGACAGAGTAAAGCATTTAGACAGGATTTCATAAATATAGAGGACAAATTAAAATATCCAACAAATATGGCCCTCCCTGGTGGTGCAGTGGGTAAAGCACAGCACTAAAAAACTAAAACCACTTCAGCATGAGTTCAATCCCTGCCCCGGAGGTGACCCACATGGCGTGGCAGACCTCTCCTGACCCGCCCACTGCTTCCCTCAGCAGTGTACTTTGTCAGTTTGCTTGTTCTGCTTCCCACTCTGTCTCTGGTGAATCCTCTCACTGCCCCTGTACTCTGGCCAGTACCCAGTTCTGTATGCATAAATAAATAAATCTTAAAAACAAAACAAGACAACATCCAACATATGAAGAGAATATGTTTCTGAGAGAGAACATGGTAAAGGGACAAAATATACTCATTTCAGGCCCTCCCTGGTGGCGCAGTGGGTTAAAGCACAGCACTGAGAATCTAAAGCCTCTTCCGCATGAGTTCAGTTCCTGCCTGCCCTGGAGGTGACCACATGGTGTGGCAGACCTCTCCTGACCTGCCCGCTGCTCCCCTCAGCAGTGTACTTCGTGGATCTGCCTGTTCTGTTCCCCACTCTGTCTCTGGTGACGCCTCTCACCGCCCCTGAGCCTCTGGCCTGTACCCTAGTTCTGTATGCACAAATAAATAAATCTTAAAAAAAAAAAAAATACTCATTTAAAAAGCCAAGTTATTTCCTGTAAAGTGGGGCAAGAACTCTATTGATTGATAGGACGTGTTTTCTTGATTTCATCAGAAAACTTAAGTCCATGAAACTACATACAATATTTGCATGTTTAGATTAAAAAGATGAAGAATAGGTGAGGAATTTTCAGATACTATAAAAGACTCACTTAAATTGAGATAGTTGGTTTTCTTTTGAACAATAAAGGAAGTCATATCATACTTACAAATTTTATAATTCAAATGAAATAATTTTATCCTAAAGAGCAGTACTCTTCCTCAGTTGGGAATAAGTAAAATCCATTGATACAATTCTATACAATCTTTATGGGCCACTATTTTGAATAACTCTGAATGTTGACAGTTTCCTTAAGTGAAGCTGATTTTCTTTGAAAATAAAATGGAAAAGTGTAAGTTTATTACAGTAAAAATAATATTTGAAAATTTTAATTTATTTTAAAAGTATTTAGAGATAGTACTAAGATGATAAAATGACATTTCAAATTTTATTGTATATTTTTATTGACCTCATCTATCCTAAAAATGAAACAGTGAATATCTTTTCAAAGAAATGTTACTTTGTGAGACACTAAAGGTTGACCATAAAATAAAACATTTGTTTCTGTAAATACTTTGCTAGAAAAATGAAAAGTCAAGTTAATGAATATCTATATTTAGTACTTTGTGCAGTACACCATGTAATTAAATCAAAGACAGATTCCTGTATACTTGAAGATACTATGTTTTGGGGGAAACTAGACAGAATTTGTGTTTTGAGGGTCAGAATAATGTTTTAAAATCTATTAGATTTCTGCCTAACATCTTTTTCCCACTGTAGTTCACAGGTCATTTCTCTTTCTGTGTAGCCATTGCTGGGAGATACGTTTTTCTGTTTTATTATTGGTTAAATAATAACTCTTCTAGTTTAGATTGCCCTGAATTCAACTGTTATGTGTAGGTATAAACTTCTTATTTTATTGATATTCTTCAGCAATTTTGAATTGAGATACTGTATTCTTTCACTTCTAGACTGATTTTTTTTTTTTTTAGCTACCACAGCTTTGCCTCCCCTAAAGAAACTTTGTTAGAACTAGAAGCTTGATGGTACTCTTTAACAAGGTATATATTTTTCTGGTGAGAGAAAGAGAGAGAGGGCAGGGACTTGGCTTTGGAAGTAAGTATTGCTTTTTAGTTTATTTCCAAGTCTAACCAGGATGTTAGCTGGGAGTTGTATATCACTTAGAATTTCTCAAGTGTTTATTTATTTATTTATTTATTTTGTTTGGATTAGGCCTCAAGAAAGGAGAACTGGATATGAACAGTTTCACCCAGGCCCATCCCCCGTGGATCATGATTCACTGGAATCCAAACGACCACGTCTGGAGCAGGTTTCTGACTCCCATTTCCAGCGTGTCAGTGCTGCGGTCTTGCCTTTAGTGCATTCGCTGCCAGAAGGGCTGAGGTCTTCTGTAGATGCTAAGAAGGTAAATATTTGTCCTCTTACTCTGTGGAGTTGGTTTCTGATGTTTCTTTAGCCACATTCAAGCATGCCTTAAAAGAAACTCCAATTATTTCAGTCCTTAAAGGTTAGAAGTAGAAATTTTGTGAAACAAAATTAAAAACCACAGATTTAGTGCTCTATACTTTCAAAGTCTGTATGTTTTACTTTTTGGTGAATGAAAACAATTCTGAACTGCAAAGAAAAATTGCTATTGGTAATACCTAAGCATTTTGTGCTGGCTTGCCTGGACTATTTTAAATAAGTCCTTTAAATTCAGTTGCTATTTATTGACTTGCTATGTGGAAGAAACACATTTTAGGTAAGGCTTAACTGTATGTGTAATTTTTTCCTAATTATACATTTTCTGATTTACAGTTTACATAAATACATATATACTACTAGAATACTTGCAAAATATAGAGGAAAAATTTCCCTCAATTCTATAAATTGGAAATAACCATTTTTTAATATAATAGTTTATTTTTACATCATTTTGTGCATTTTTCCATCTCACTTGTAATCCCCTTGGGCTTCCCATCACCAAATCACCCATATGCCATCACCATAGTCCAGTGCATTTCCCTCCCCACCACTGTTCTTGATCCCATTCCCCACTCTACCCCCATAAAATGTCTCTGGTATATAGCTTTTCATTATTATTGGAAATAACCATTTTTTAATATGAGACTATAGTTTGTGATATTTCAGACAATGTGTGTTACGCATTTATTAGAAGACTTTATTAACATCAAACCTCTTTACCTCATTTGCTTATTATTTGCCTTTTGTGAATTGCACGTTCATGTATCATGCCTTTGTTTTGTAGTTGTGTTTATCTTTTTCAGTGTCTGTTTGCTTATCTTTAAACCTGCAGATTAGGAGTGCTTGGCACTTAGGTATAGAATAAATATTTGTTTTAGAAAGAATAAACAGATATGTAAAATTTTTTTAATAGTAAAGCATTAACCCTTTTATTATTATATGTTAATATTTCCCCCAGTTTCTTTCCCACAAAGTTTACTTACTCAATGTCTAATGACCCGTCCTGCCCTGATATCAGATAAATAAGTATTCATACATTTGTTTGAAATGTTATGTAGTGAAAACTAATTTGGGAGAGAGAATATGTTTGCAGTTTATTTTGAAATAATTCAGACAAGAAATAAGCCTAGATATGTGTGCATATAGAAGGAGAGAAAGTGGACACAACAAAATGTTAATAACTAATGAATCTAGGTTGGTAAAATGAGTATCCATTATACTATTAATCCATATTTTATGTAAATTTCAAATTTTTCCAAGCAAAAAAATTAAGTAGAGAAAGTTTTTTGTAAGCTGGAAATTAGTTAAACTTCTGGAAATTTTTGACACCCACACTTCTATGTGAATATCTGTATTACAGTTATTCAGTTTTTAAGAAATATTTTGCTATCTTCAAAAAGTATAGTGAATAAAATTTTTCTTCCAGTGCTGAATAAATTACTACAAATACAATTTATACATACAATTTTTTAAAGCAGAGACTGGTCTTTTAAAAGGTTATTTATTGATTCATCTTTAAAAACTAAAAATGGATATATTAATATGACCATTAATCTTCCTCTGGGGCTTTTAGCCAAAGAGCATGAAGCCATCAGAGCAAAAAACTATATGCTCTACATTGTTTATCACAGCACTGCTTATAGTAGTTAGGACATGGGAGCAGCCTAAATGCCCATTGATAAGTGATTGGATATAAAAGATGTAGTATATCCATAATATGGAATATTGTTTTATTTAGCCATAAGAAAAGATGACATGCAACCATTCACAGCCAAATGGAGAGATCTCGTTTGAGGGAATTGTGTGTAGTAAAACAAGTCAGAATGATAAGTACCAGATACTTTCTTTTTAAAGATTTATTTATTTATACATACAGAACTGCAGTACAGGCCAGAGGCACAGATGTGGTGAGAGGATTCACCAGAGAAGAGTGGGGAGCAGAACAGGCAGATCGACGAAGTACACTGCTGAGGGGAGCAGCGGGTGGGTCAGGAAAGGTCTGCTCACTATGTGGGTCACCCCCGGGGCCGGGGATCGAACTCATACTGAAGTGGCTTTAGCTTTTTAGTGCTGTGCTTTAACCTGCTGCGCCACAAGGGAAGGCCCCAGATACTTTTTTTTTAAACAATTTATTTATGCATATAGATCTGGGTTACAGGCTAGGGGTGTGGGGGGAAGAGGATTCACCAGCAACAGAATGGGAAGCAAAACAGACAGATGTACTGAAATACACTGCTGAGGGGAGCAGCCATTGGGTCAGGAGAGGTCTCCCATGCCATGTGGGTCAGCTACTTGACTAGGGATTGAACTCGTGCTGTAGTGGCTGCCCATAGCTTGGTAGTGCTGTGCTTTAATCTGTTGCACCACAAGGAAGGGCCCAACTATTTCTATTTTATAGCTAAGAAAACAGATGTTAAGATATCAATTTAAGAGAAATTAAGTACCGGAGACAGTTGGAATGAAAATCCATACCCACTTACCCCTGATCTCATTTGTTTTTTCTTAAGTCGTAATTAGGATTTTTTTTGTGTGTAGAAGTAGGCATTTCAAAAGAATTAACATTTGTTAGTGTTTAAAATGTTGTTAAACTCATATATACATATTATATATTAGACTATTTAGATTAATTTGCAGGGAAAAGTTATCTGCAGTCTTAGTAGATAGAAATCATTTACTTTTTGGCTATTCTTATACCTGTCCATATTTTAATATATTCACTTTGTACATTCTTTAACTTTATTTTTGCTTAAATATATCCTGAGCTTAATAAATTTGTGTGAATAAGATTACATATGTAATTTTAGTGATTACTTAGTATTCCATATATAGATAAAAATTTATTTAATCATCACACATTTGAGGTTTCCAGTTTATTCACTTAGTACAATGTTATGATATATATTCTTTAGGCTGAATTTTTTTGTTATACATCCTTACTCCCTTAAAGTAATTTCCTATTAGTATAATTAATTACATACTGTAGCTGACGTATTTTAAAAATCTTAAGTATTTCCAGATTGCTCTGCAAAATTCCAATTCTTTTTCCTTTCAGTAGTTTATAAAGGATACCTGGTTCCTTTGAACCCTTCCTGATACCTTGCTGTATCTATTGTTTTAAAAATTACTGTGAATTGCATATTTTAAACTTATTTTTATTGCTTGTTAATAAAATGAAACTTTTTAAAATTGATCATCTTCCTTGTATTGTGAATTGTTTCCTTCATATTTTTCATTCATTTTTCTGTTGGTATGTTTTCTATTTCATAGTTGCTTATGCTCATGTTTCACAGTTTTTCCATTTACCTTTGAATGTTGTTATTTTGAGAAAGATTGTCTTCTTTCTTTAGCAATCTTTTAAATTAAATGTGCTGCTGACTTTCCCTAACTCAAGATAATTTTATACTTTTTTATGTGTGTTTGCAGCTTCTTGTGATTTACTACATAGTCTCAGTAATTGTTGTTACTTGACTTTTATTGTGATATGTGAGGTAAGAGTCTTAACTCTTTTTCTCCAAAATTGCTGTTGGTGTAGTCCAACATAAGATTGTAAGCTCCATGAGAGAAGGTATCATATCTATTTATTCATTGTCCTTTACCTAGTGCTTTTTTTTTTTTTTTAAGATTACTTATTTATGCATACAGAACTGGGGTACAGGCCAGAGGTGCAGGGGTGGTGAGAGGATTCACCAGAGACAGAGTGGTGAGCAGAACAGGACGACTGATGAAGTACACTGCTGAGGGGAGTAGAAAGTGGGTCAGGAGAGCTCTGCCATGCCATGTGGATCACTTCCGGGGCGGGGATTGAACTCATGCTGAAGTGGCTTTAACTTTTTAGTTCTGTGCTTTAACCTGCTGCGCCACCAGGGAGGTCCCCTAGTGCTTTTGTTAATGGTAGCACTAAAGGGATTTTTTTTTTTTTTTGCTAAATATTTAACTAGAAAGGAAAATACTAATTTGCAATAATAAATCTTAGGTGTGCATCACATTACCTGAGGAGTGTTTTTAAACTCTTGAATCAAATTTTAATGTATTTTGCTATTACATGGTTCTGTAACACAAATTGGCTCATACACATATGGTATGAACATGATATTAATATGACATGGAAGTCCTGGTGGTTCACAAATTATTTTTTATGTTAATGTTTCAAAGCTTTCAGAATCAAGCTGTCTCAATGTTTTCAATGTATAAAGAGACTGACTACTTGAAAATTCTGTATTTAGTATTCATTTAGTGTAAGTAATACCACCTGGCTTAGTGAATTAAAGATCTGTTCTGCTTTTTAGGAGTGAGCAAACTAGTGAAGATTCAAGTGTTGAATGAAACTAAAGACTTCTTTTTAAAGATTTATTTATGCATACAAGAACAAGGGTACAGGCCAGAGGTATGGGGAGGGTGAGTGAGGGAGAGGATTCATCAAGAGACAGAGTAGGGAGCAGAACAGGTGGACCTAATGAAATACATTGCTGAGGGGAGCAGTGAGTGGCTCAGGAGAGGCCTGCTACACCATGTGGGTCACCTCCTTGTCCTGGGATTGAACGCATGCTGCAGTTGCTATGGACAGCTTCACAGTGCTGAAGTTTAACCTGTTGCATTACCAGGGAGGGCCCTGAAGACATTTTCTGCTATATTTTTTAATTTCAAAGGTCGATAAAGTGATGGTACCTGTTTTTGAGTCCCTATTTTGATGCAACATACTTTTTTTGTTGGAAACAAATGATCAAAGGGATTTATGCCTTCATATAGGAAATAATGAATATAAACAGGGCTGGGCCCTCCATGGTGGAGCAACAGGTGAAAGCATTATGACATGACCCCCAACCACTGCAGCACAGGTTTGATTCCTGTCCAAGGAGGTGACCCACATGGCGCAGCAAACTTCTCCTGTCTAGCCTGCTGCTCCCTTTAGCAGTGTATTTCAATCTGCCTGTTCTGCTCTCCACTGTCTTTGGTGAATTTTCTCACCCCCTGCATCTCTGGCCTGTACCCCAGCGCTTGTATGCATAAATAATATTAAAAAAATTAATAAGCTGCAGGGCTGAAGTTTGCCTAAGATTGATGATCGGCTGAATACAAATGATAGGGGAGCTTTAATTATACTACTTCTATTAGAATTGTTACTACTTTGTAAATGTTCTGCATACAAAATTATACGTTTTAAGTAATATGCATAATCCTCTTTTCCTCAGAAGTTTTATATTTAGCACATATAGTTACAGAATGTAGGACTTTTAAGGAATATGCATACATATTATGTTTTAGCTGAAATTTCTGTTCCAGGATTTTTTAGAACAGCTATCCGTCCATGTATAGTTAAGTGCAGTTTTGGTTAAAACACAGTTCTTATTCATTATTTAACATATGTTAGGGCTCTGTAGTCTTATGAACTATGCTATTTTTTGGTTTCTTTTTGTCTAAAGAAAAGTAGTACCATAGTTTAAAATTAATTTCTTTTGCTCTATTCTATCTTTGCCTCAGATTGGAAATCATTGGCGGGGGGAGTATGTGTGTATTGGTAGATTTTTGGTGGAGGGAGACTTTCATTCTCTTACAGTTACCTGTTGAGTTGGAGGTGGAATGGGATATATATACCAAAACAATAATGTAGTATAGGCAGGCTTTAGAAGTGTAGGGCTGAATCAATAAAAGTTTCCATGGTCATTTTTCTGACTTCTATACTTCAGTATTGGCCCATAGAAAGCCTGCAGACTTTTTTGCTAGGAACTTTTGACACTACTGAGTGGGGTAGGCATACTTGTAGTTTATACTACTTCCCAGAAATTTGTGTTATTTTACCTGGAGCTCATACTATTTCCCAAGAGCTTTTGAAAAATCACTGAAGTGGCTCAGACACTGTAATTTTTTTTTGTTGTGGTTGTATAATTATTTCTCCAGAAAGTCTCTACATTCTCAGTAGTATTAACTAAAGGCAGATTGGCCACTTAGCCACCTTCTTCATGAATAGCTTTTAAAATCTACAAAATAGTGAATGATATATGTAAGCTATAAAAATGAGACAGTGAGGGAGAACTGCTATCATAGAACTACTGTCTAAAGGAGAAATAGAAATATGACCACTGTCTGCTGTATTTTCAAATTAGACTTTAAGCTAAGGAAACTTAGCTAACAATGGAAATTAGTGAGAAATAAATCATTCTTGACCTTTTCTTCTCTCAAGGATCCAGCATTTGGAAGCAAACATGAAGCTCCATCTTCTCCAATCTCTGGGCAGCCATGTGGAGATGATCAAAATGCTTCACCTTCAAAACTTTCAAAGGAAGAGTTAATACAGAGTATGGATCGTGTTGATCGAGAAATTGCAAAAGTAGAACAGCAGATTCTTAAACTGAAAAAGAAACAAGTAAGTGTTTGAATTTTCTGCTTTTTGTATTCTACGAATGTGTTTCCCTAGAGAAAGTATGTTAAATTTTCCATATTTAAAAATAATCATGCCTCATATATTCCATGAATTACTTTTGAGCCTTTTTTCCCTCTGTTAATTTCTGTGGATTCATTCATTTTTCTTGCTGTATTGTCGATTTTTGATAGCCAAACTTTTATGTCCCATTAGTTTTTGATTTTACTGGATGCATTATTTCTGGTTTGTTTCTGTTTCACATAATGGTGCTGTGTTTTTGGTTTACATGAAGAGAGATTTTCTAGGGCATGTGCATAGCATTAGTAGGCCCAAGGGTATGCATATAGTCTATTGTACTAGATGATATTAAGTTGCTAAGATGTCAGTACCATTTTACGTTCTCACTGGCAGCGTATACAAGTTCCAGTTGGTACACATCCTTGCCTTTACTGATTAATTTTTTTTTTCAGTTGAATGTGAAATATTTCTTAATGTGTTTTTAATATGCATTTCTTTGATTAGAAATGAGATGGACCTTTTTTTTATTTATGGATTATTTGTGTTCTTGTGGATTGTTAGTACTTTGTCATCCTCCTTTTTTGTATTTCCTCTAAAGTTATAGAGATAGGAGATCTCTTCTGATTTGTGCCTTACCATTTTGTTTTTTGGTGGGGGGGAGGATTTTTTTTTACTGAACTAAAAAATGTACATGTCATAATAGTTACCTTTTTAAAAAGTACAATTGACTTTTAATGTATTCTTGATGTTGTGTAACTATCACCACTACAAAGTTCCAAAACATTTTTATCACTTGAAAAAGAACCCTCATATGTGTTAGCAGTTACTCTTTATTTCTCCCGCTCCTCAGCCCTTGGCATCCACTATGTTTTGTTTCTGTGGACTGCATATTATGGACATTCTCAGATAAATGAAATCATTTTTGTGACCATCTGTTTTTCACTACCATGTTTTCAAGATTCTTCTATGTTATATCTTGTATCAGCACTTTACTACTTTTATGGCTAAATAAAATTCCCTTGCATGAATATGTTTTGTTTATCTTGTTCACTAGTTGATGGACATTTGAGTTGTATTTCACTTTTTGGTGATTATGAATAATGCTGCAATGATGTTAACATATTTTTGTAGGGTCATAGTTTTTCAGTTCTATTGGCTATATACTTAAGAGTGTAGTGCCACTGGTTTATATTTTAATTCTCTGAAGTTTTGAGGAACTACCAAACTGTTTTCCAAAGAGCTGTACCATTTATGTTTCTAGCAGTAGTTCTATTCGTTCCTTACTCTTGTCAGCATTTGTTATCTATCCTGGTAAATGTGAATTTTGATTCACATTTGATTATGGTATCTGATTATGGTTTCGGTTTCCATTTCCTTAATGACTGATGATTGTGAATATCTTTTCATGTGCTTGTTGGCCATTTTATATACAGACATGTCTTGGAGATATTGTGGATTCATTTCCAGACCAAAATAATAAAGCGAATATCACAGTAAAGCAAGTCATAAGTGTTTTGTTTTCCCAGTGCATATAAAATACATTTACAGCATATCTAGTCTGTTAGACATAGTGGCATTATGTTTATAAAGGCAATGTACACATCATAATTAAAAAATACTTTATTGCTTAAAAAAATGCTATGATCTGAGACTTCAGCAAGTCAATCCTTTTGCCGGTTGGAGGATCTTGTATTAATGTATTATCTGTGAAAGACAGTAAAACCAGCGCAATATAAAGCCATGCTTGTGTTTTCCTTAGAGAAATGTCCATTCAGATCCTTTGCCCATTTTTTGGTTGGATTTTGTCTCTTTATTGTTGAGTTGTTAGGAGTTCTTCCTATATTCTGCATATTTAAATAAATTATTTGCAGGTATATTCTCTATTAATGTGGGTTGTCTTTTTATTTTCGTGATACTATCTTTGCTATACAGATGTTTTTGTTTTCTTATTTGATCATTCAAATATATATTGAGCAACTAGGAAGATACAAAGGTGATTAAAATACCTTTAAAGAGGTGAGTCAGATGTGCAAGTGATGGAAAGCAAGGTATAAGGCTCACTGAGTCACAGCAGTTAAAAGTGCTTTAGGAAATCAAGTGTAAACTTGTTTCTAGCCTGGAAAGGAATGCATTGGTGGCAAATTAGGAAAGGAGGTTGAGATTATACTACATGTCTTTAGTTTGCACTGCTAATCACAATATACACTTTTAAAAAAATTTTTTTTTAAATAATATACAGTTTATTTTTACATCATTTTGTACACTTTTTTGTTTTTATCTCAATTGTAATTCCCATGGGCTTCCCATCACCGAATCACCTGTGTGCCATCACCATAGTCCCGTGCACTTCCCTCCCCACCCCCATCTCCCATTTTTTATCCCATTCCCTACTCCACCCCCACAAAATGTCTCTGGTATATGGCTGTTCATTATTATTATTTTCTCGCCTGGTCCATTATACTCCTGCTGTGAGCAAAACCATTCGGTATTTTTCTTTTTCTTTCTGGCTTATCTCACTAAGCATGATCTTTTCCAGCTCCATCCAAGTTGCTGCAAAAGACATATTTCTGTTTTTTGGTTGCTGAGTAATATTCCATTGTATGTATGTGCCCCATCTTTTTAATCCAGTCATCTACTTTTGGGCATTTGGGCTGCTTCCATGTTTTTCCAATTGTAAATAAAGCAGCAATAAACATGGGGGTGCAGGTATCTTTTTGAATCAGTGTTTTTGTGTTTTTTGGGTAGATACCTAGGAATGGGATTGCTGGGTCATAGGGAAGCTCCATGTTTAGCAGTTTGAGGAATCTCCAAACAGTTTTCCATAGTGGTTGTACTAGTTTGCATTCCCACCAGCAGTGCAGGAGAGTTCCTTTTTCTCCACATCCTCGCCAACATTTGTTGTTGCTAGTTGTTTGAAGATGTGCCATTCTCACTGGAGTGAGGTAGTATCTTATTGTGGTTTTAATTTGCATCTCCCTTATTACGAGTGATGTTGAACTTTTTTCATATGCTTATTGGCCATCTGCATTTCCTCTTTGGAGAAGTGTCTTTAGCTCTTCTGCCCATTTTTTGATGGGGTTGTTTACTTTTGTTGAGTTTCGTCAGTTCACCGTATATTTTTGTGATCAGTCCTTTATCACTACTTTTGTGTGAGAAAATGTTTTCCCAATTAGTGGGCTGTCTGTTTGTTTTTTGTAATGTCTCTTTTGCTGTACAGAAGCTCTTTAACTTGATGTAGTCTCATGTATTTATCCTTGCCTTCACTGTTGTGGCATTGGGTGCTCTATCTTTAAAGATGTCTTTGAAGTGTATGTCGTGTAGTGTTTGGCCCATCTTTGTTTCCAGGTATTTTATGGTTTCCGTTCTTATGTCTAGGTCTTTAATCCACTTCGAGTTGATTTTTGTGACTGGAGTGAGGCAGTGATCTAGTTTCATTTTTTCGCATGTAGCTTCCCAGTTCTTCCAGCACCATTTGCTGAACAAAATTTCATTGTTCCATTGTATCTTCTTTGCTCCCTTGTCAAAAATTAGCTGTCCATAAACTTGTGGGTTTATATCTGGGTTTTCTATTCGAATCCCCTGGTCTGTATGTGTATTCTTATTCCAGTACCATGCAGTTTTGGTTATTATGGCTTTGTAGTAAAGCTTGAAGTTTGGGATTGTAATGCCTCCATTTTGTTTTTTCTTAGACATGAAGGTTTTGGGTATTCGAGGTCTTTTGTTGTTCCATATGAATCTCATCAACATTTTTTCTATTTCTTTGAAGAATGTCATTGAGATTTTTATTGGGATGGCATTAAATCTGTATACAATATACACTATTTTTATCTCCTTTTTCTCTTCATCTTTGGGTGTAACTTAAATTTATCAGTAGTGCCAGGATTGTTAAGTGTACCTTTTTATGACATGGCCTGATTTTTGCCTTACTGTCATTTGCTTTTTCCTCGCCTTCATTATCATTTTTATCTGCACATTTGACTTTTTTTTCTATGACCCTATTACCACTTCCAGGGCTCTATCTCTTTATAGAAAACCTGAGGAGTTTCATATTCCCCTCATCATCTCCTGACTCTCCTTCTTCCTCCTTAGCTTCTAAGTGCTGGTCACTTATATTTACAAACCCTCAATCAAACCTGAAACGAAGACATTGGCTCAACAGACATTTTTCAGAGTTGTTACTGTTACATGAATTGAACTGCTTTCTTAACTCATTGCCTCTTTATGCTAGCCCTTGCACTGTTCTTAAAAATAATGGGTGTTGGGCCCTCCTTGGTGGTGCAGTGAGTTAAAGTACAGCACTAAGACACGAAAGCCACTTCAGCATGAGTTCAATCCCCACCCCAGAGGTGACACTTGGCGCAGCAGACCTCTCCTGACCCGCCCGCTGCTCCCCTCAGCAGTGTACTTTGTCAGTCGTACTGTCCTGTTCCCCACTCTCTCTGGTGAATCCTCTCACTGCCCCTGCATCTCTGGCCTCTACCCTAGCTCTGCATAAATAAATAAATCTTTAAAAATAATAATAATTGGTGTTCATTTTCATAATTACCTGCTTTAAAGTGTTGATTTTGTTGTTGATGATTTATAAAAAGATAGTTTGGGGGCCTTTGGGAGTTCATGTCTGTACCCATTAAATCTTCCCTGGGTGGTGGCACTCAGTTGGGACAGAAGATGGGTAGAAATAAAGGATTACTGTTTCAGAGAACAACGTTACAGGTGCAATCACAGCTAGCTTTTAATTGTGTTGGCAGTCCAGTTTATTTTTCTTTCACAACTTGTGCTTTGGATGTCTTATCTAAGAAAGTGTTACATAATCCAAGGTCATAAAGATACCTATGTTTTCTGTAGTTTTAAAACTCAGATTTAGATTTTTGAGTCTACTAGTAATGCTTTTGATGAACAGAATTTCTTTAGATTTTTATATTAGAAATTAATACAGATGCTCTAGAGTTACTAGTTTATTTTATTGACTTTATATAATTTTTGTT